TTTTTTTCTTTTTTTTTTTTGAAGAACAGAGTTCCACCCTGTGCTCCAGACCAGGCGGGGAGTGCAGTGACGCAATCTCGGCTCACTGTAAACTCTGTCTCCCGGGTTCCCGCCATTCTCCTGCCTCAGTCTCCCGAGTAGCCTGGGACTACAGGCACCGCCACCGCATCCAGCTACTTTTTTTGTATTTTAGTAGAGATGGGGTTCACCATGTTAGCCAGGATGGTCTCGATCTCTTGACCTTGTGAGTCTGGCGCGTCCCCGTTCAGGGACGGGGGTAGGCCTTCCCGAACTCGAGTGGCTGGGTGATTACAGGCTGGTGAATGGCCAGCGCAAGCCCCGGGCCGCCGCTAGGATTTGTAAGAAAGGAAGTATTTTAATTTGTGAAGACTCTCAACGCTATAAGATATCCTTAGAAGAAAACAATATGGGTGGGAAACGCCCATTTCTACTAAAAATTACCAATAAAAGAATGAAAGGAGAAAAATGCTAGCCCTGGGGCATGGCGACAGGCAACCGTGTGAATCCCCAGCTTACGTCGGAGGCTGAGGGGGCAGGAGAAACTGGCTTGAACCAGGGGAGGGTGGACAGTAAGGGTGTGGTCCGCGTGGCTTCCTGGCACTCCAGGGTTGGGGCAGGTGTTCCCTCCGTGGTGGTCAGAGGGGAGGGAGGTGTCTGAGGTTCGGCATTGATGAGCAGGATTCCCAGGAGCCATGACTCTTATCTCTGGGGGCATTGGCTTCTGTGGTCCTGCACCTGCTCCTTGCAGCCTGTTAGGGCTCAGAGAGCACACAAGGTCCCAGGATGCACAGAGAGCACACAAGGTCTCGGTTATTTCTGGACTGGGAACCACTTTCCTGATAGATGCTGAGCTCCTGCGGTGCAGGAAAACTCTCCCGAATGACTCAGGAGCAGAACTTCGATTTGTTGAACACAGAAAATCTAAAATAATTCAATAAGGAGACTGGAGGGAACCCTGCTACAGCAGAGGAAGGGTTTCTGAGGAACTCCATAAAACTCATGTCAAGAGACACAGGGGAAGAGAAGAATGCAGAGGCCAGGAGCGAGGCTGGGCTCAGGGCTCTTCTCCACTGTTTTGATTCTCAGGAGCAGCTGAGACCCTCAGCCCGTCACAAAACCAGACAGACTCCAAGACTGGTGAGTGAGGAGATGCTCTCGGTTATGGGACTGGCACAGAGGGCCAGGGACTGTCCAGGGGAGGTGGGTGCCCTGGGTGGACATCCAGGGGTCCCGGGGTGATTCTGACCTGCCGTGACCTCTGTGGCCTCTTTGTCCACCACCCCTAGGCCAACACCCACAGGATTACACAGTGGAGAATCTCATCCGCATGGGCGTGGCTGGCTTGGTCCTGGTGGTCCTCGGGATTCTGCTATTTGAGGCTCAGCACAGCCAGAGAAGCCCCCAAGATGCAGCCGGCCGGTGAACAGCAGAGATGACAATGCACCCTTCAGAGTGGTGGAGCCTCAGGAACAGATCTGATGATCCCAGGAAGTTCTGGAGGACAATCTAGGACCTACATTATCTGAACTGTCTGCTGGTCACTTCTAGAGACAGGAATCCATATTTGAGTGCAGGGAAACTGTCTGGGGTGATTCGTAGAAGATCATTAAACTGTGACACATTTTTTGTCTATGAATGTTGACTTTCCTTGACTGGATCCCCCTTTCTTTCCCATCCCCAGACATGAGGCTCCATCCCACATGGCATCGTTGGGTCCACACCTCTGCACACCTGCGTGCTCTGGTCCACGGCATGTAACACAGTCTTCCTTATTCCTCACTGTGACACTCCTTGATGTCCCTTACCGAGTCGCCATCTCTTCAGTTCAGAGATCCAAACCTGAACCACCAACTAAATCGACAACAGGAGACCAGATTCCAACCAGGAAAACATAAATCCATCCTGAAGACTTAATGCCCTCCCTGGACCCTATGAGCCCTTCCCTCTTTCTTAGGTGCTATCTGTGTAATTTCTCCTGAAATATCACCTCTTGGAATCATCACTCACACATTTCAAGTGACACCACAGCTATGTTGATTCTGAAAAAGACATCTTTAAAATGCTATTATTAATGGTATCTACCAGTTTCTGTGACATAAAATTTTTTTTTCATGGCCCCAATCAAGGTGCCAATGAGTTCTCACTGAATGCAGGGTTGGGAATCAAGGGACAGAGCTGTCTTCACTAATGAGCACCAGGCACCTGTGGCACATCCCACTGAGAGCTCGCTCATCTACCTTCTAATTCAGAGGCAATGATCACTTCTATTTCAGTGTTATGGCACAGGTGAAATGAAATTCTCAGACTGCTTTCCTAATATATCCACAAAAGACAAACGTGTTAATATGTGAGAGATAACACGACTCACTTAAAAATCCAAGTACAACATAAGAAAAGTGTTACCAGAACTATGTTCCTGGCACTCCAGGGTTGGGGGCAGGTGTTCCCTCGTGGTGGTCAGAGGGACGGGACGGTGTCTGAGGTTCGGCCATTGATGACCAGATCCCCAGGAGCCATGGACTCTATCCTGGGGCATTAGGCTTCGTGTGGTCCTGCACCCTGAATCCTTGCCAGCCTCGTCAGGCTCAGAAGAAGCACAAAGGTCCCAGGATGCAGCAGAGAGCCACCCAAGGTCTCGGTTATTTCTGACTGGGGGACCGCTTTCCTTATGACCGGCGTGACGCTCCTGGTGCAGGAAAACTCTCCCGAATGACTCAGGAAAGAGCAGGTTTGGATTTGTTGAGGACACAGCAAAATCTAAAAAATTCAATGAGGAGACTGGAGGTGAACTCTGCTGACAGCAGAGGCAAGGGTTTCTGGAGGAACTCCCATACAAACTCATGTCAAGAGACACAGCGGGAAAGGAGAAGAATGGCAGAGGCAGGAGGCCCGAGGCCTGGGGCCAGGGGCTCTTCTCCCACTGTTTTATTCTCAGGAGCAGGCTGAACGCTCTCCAAGGGCCCGCTCACAAAACCATAGACCCAGACTCCAAGACTGTTATGTGAGGAGATGCTCTCGGTTAAATGGGCGCTGGGCAGGCAGAGGCGCCCCAGGGAACTGCTCCAGGGGGATGGGTGCCCCTGGGTGGAGCCATCCCAGGATCCCTAGGGTGATTCTGACTGCCGTAGACTCTGTTGAGCGTCTTTGCCGCACCTCCCTAGGAACCAACCACGCCACACGGATTACCACAGTGGAGAAAATCTCATCCCGCATGGGCCGTGGCTGGCTTGGTCGCTGTGTCCCTCGGGAATCTGCTACTTTGAGGCCTCCAGCCCCAGGCAGCCCAGAAGAAGGCCCGCCGAAGATGGCAGGCCGGCCGGTGAACACGCAGAGATTGATAATGCAGCCCCTTCAGAGTGGGTGGACGCCTAAGCGAACAGATCTGATGATCGCCAGGGAACCAACTGGAAGGACAATCTAGGGATACTTATCTGAACTGTCTGCTGGTCACTCTAGAGACAGGTAAAATCCATATTTAGTGGCAAGCGGAAGCACTGCGTCTGGGGGGATTCCCGTAGAAGAGCATTAAAACTGTGAGCCAGCATTTTTTGTCTATGAATGTTAGACTTTCCTTGACTGGATCCTTTCCCTTCCCACCAGACATGGAGGCTCCAATCCCACATGGGCACCGTCAGTGGGATCCACCACCTCTGGGCACACCATGGCCGTGCTCTGGTCACCGGCAATGTAAACACAGTCTATCCTTATTCCTACTGTGACAGCTCCTTGATGTCCCTTACGGAGCCGCCCCATCTCTTCAGGGTTCAGAGATTCGCAAAACCTGAACCACCATAAATCGACAAACAAGGAGCAGATTCCAACCAGGAAAATACCATAAAATCACATCTGAAGACTAATGGCCTCCTGGGGACTATGAGCCTTCCTCCCCATTCTTAGGTGGCTATCTGTGTATTTCTCCCTGAATATGCAGCCTCTGGAATCATCACTCACACCATTTCAAGTGACACCACAGCTATGTTAAGATTCTGAAAAAGACATCTGTAAAAATAGCTATTAATCATAATGGTATCTACGCAGTTTTGTGACATAAAATTTTTTTTTCCCATGGCCCCAATCAAGGTGCCAAATGAGTTTCACCATGAATGTGGCAAGGTTGCGGAAATCAAAGGGACCATGAGCAGCTTTCACTAAGAGGGCACCAAGGACACCGTGATGGGCACATCCCATTGAGAGCTCACTCCATCTACCTTCAATTCAGCGAGGCAAGTGAACAGCTTCTATGTTCACGTGTACTATGCACCAGGGAAATGAAACCTGTCTCCCAAAAAAAAAGAAGAATTCTTGCCCCATCGAAACTCGCGAAT